CAGAGAGTTTGCTTTTGGAGATATCTATTTAAAGGTATTGACTAGTGAGAAGTAGCAAATACCAGAGTGTGGGTTCTGGACCATCATGGATTTTGAGGCTGGTTTTAATTGACAATTCTATATAAATTTAAAGGGCTTATTCTCAGTGACTTCAGCTGTTTTCAGCCTATTGTCAATAACAATAAAAGGGAAAAACGATGTGTCTTTCTTATGCCCGAACCTGACCAAAATACTTTTCTGCCATTATTATTAGTTCTAATCATCATATCAACTCTCTGGCTTAGCTGAGACAAGAGATATTAATCAACTTGCTTAGGACTATATATCCAATTAGTTTCAGAGCTAAGACATGACTGATTCAACACTTTAACTAAAGAACTCTGTGGACTTCCTACATTTCAAGCAGTTACCATCGTAACTCCCTCAGACATGTATTAGAGACAAGTTAACATTAATATATGAAAAAAAAATGGTGACAATCATCTCTTATTAAATATGTCCTAAGTACTTTGGATATAGAATTTCAATTAGTTCATCATAATCCTATGAAGATGGTGCAATTAGCATTTCCAAGATCGTTATTAAAAGTAAGAAGGATGTGAGGCTATGAAGGCTAGCCAATTAAACAGATTGTTCATCTAGTAAATTTTCTACCTAACGTACTATTATTTGTTTTCAACTGTTATGTTGTAATCACTACACCACACTATCCTTCAACCAAACAGACTGAAGGAGCTAAGTTTGAACATCTGACACTTCTTTGATGATAGATTTTATTTTCATATCTCTGATTTTCTAGTAAAACATATTTCTTAAATCATAAAAACATGCAAAATTATTTTATATTAATTACAGTTTGTTCACTTTGTATCCCAGCTATAGTCCCCTCCCTCCTCCTCTTCCAACCCCACCCTTCCTCTCTCATCTCCTCCTATGCCTTCTCTCCAAGTCCACAGATAAGAGTGGTCCTCCTCCCCTTCCATCTGACCCTGGTTTATCTGGTCTCATCAGAACTGACTGTATTATCCTCCACAAGGATAGCAACAGAACCAAAAAATCTGGGCACAGGAGTGTTTTCTGAGACTGATACTCCAACCAAGAACCATTCATGGATATAACCTAGAACTCCTGCTCAGATGTAGCCCATTGAAGTTCAGTATCCAAGAGGGTTTCCTCCTAAGGGGAACAGGGACTGTCTCTGACATGAATTCAGTGACTAGTTCTTTGACCACCAACCCCCAGATGGGGGAGTAGCCTTGCCAGGCCACAGAGGAGGACAGTGCAGCCAGTTCTGATGATACTGAATGAGCAAAATTATTTTTAATATATATTTTATTATTACAATTTATTCAATTCATATCCTGGCTGTGGCTCCCTCCCTCATCTCTTCCCAATCTCACCCTTCCTCCCTCTTCTCCCCCTGTGCCCTTCCCCTAGTCCAAAATTAAATCATGAGATGGATGCAGGCACTAGGAATGGTAGGTGCTTTCAAGCAACAACAAATTAACCTAGGGTCTCCTCCATTGTCTTCACAGCATACATAAGCCAAATCCAATTAAAAATTGTGAAGAAAGAAAATATTTCTCTCTCAGGTTCTGTTGTGGATGTGGTAATTGGTCAGACTGGAATGTAGTATAGCCAAAGAGAACTGTGGCTTGTCAAACAGCATCTTTGCTCCACCATTAACAAGCAATGAAAACTTTAGCAGATCATTTTTCTTTAGTTTTCTAATCCATAAAATGAGAGCAATAAGTGATTGCTTTATGGGAGTGACTTTAGGATCAAATAAATAAATATATGCAAATCACTTAAAACCTGACATTACATAACAAGTATCTCAGAGCTGAGGCATGTCAGCTCTTTGAAGCAGTCTTTACAAAATAAAGAGACTTTTAGTGACTGCCAAATAACATCTCATTCAATATTGCAACCTAAATTCTTAAGCTTAGTTTTATGTATTATAGTGTTTTATTGTTTCATGATAACCAGTTGTAGGATCACAATCAAAATATTTTTAAGTATAAAAAGTCTGAAGATATGTGCATAAATATTAAGTCAATATACAGAACTATTTATTACATAGTTTGTAGAAAAGGGGAGGAGATACTATATCATAATATTTGTGATAAATGTATCAAATAGTTGCCTCTGTATAAAAGACCTCTGGTAACTATTAACCAACTGTGTTTGAAACAATGGTTTCTATGTGGAGACCAGAAACAACAGATGTGAAAGACAGGTGGAAAGATGGCTTTCCTTTATATATTTTGTTTCTTAAATTCTTAAGCTCAAGTCCTTTCTTTGTTAACCAACTTTATTTATATTCATCATCATTATTATTAGATCTTTTTAATTTTAATTTTATTCTTTTATGAAGGACTCTTGGAAAATATGAGAAAACCTTTAAAAGATATTAAAAGGCAATTCTCAAAAACTATACTTCATATTTTTCAAAAGTTGGCAAGTTCACTTAAATTGTGGATACTAGTCCATCCTTCTACGACCCACCTTTCTGTGACTAAGCTAAAACTCTAAAGGTTTCTATAGGCTTAAAGATTCCTCCTTCTCAACTGCAAATTTTGTAGTTTACTGTATGAATGATGGAGATGGATAGTTACTATATTGTGACCTTTCAAATCTTCTGGTAAGATCACCTGAGAGAAGTGTGTAAATACCCTGCATTGCTGGACTTACTGTGCTAGCTGCTTGATAAACATAAATGCAAACACTGAATAAAAATTTCACAGAATAACACTGCCAAGAAAAACAAAGTGTGTAATAATATCCAAAGCTTTATTGCTACTGGAAAAAAAGGAGAGAAAAATCATTTCTTTTAAACAACTGCTTCATTTTACCTGAAAACGTTCTCAGAAAACTATACATTTAAAGAATGACTTATTTCCAAGCATGATACACTACTAAAATTTGTATTCAATATAAAATCTCTTTTCACAATTCTACAGAGTCTTGGTTCATACATACTACATTCTCCAACGGCATAAACAATATGTATCCTCTGGTGCACCTTAAAGGGAAAAATATAAATCCATTAAACTGCATAGCTATTCAAATTATTGTTCTTTTTTATAAAACTATCACAAGCAATCAAGAACTGATTTTCTTCTTTTCTCTCAATCCAATCTTATAAGTTACTTTTCCAATGAAGCTTTAAGAAGTTGCATATATATCTATGAGACTCAAATTTTTATATAAAAAGAAGATATAAATAAATTAAATAAATAGTATCTAATAAATAATACAGAGAGCAATTATTATCTACAAACATAAATGCTAGGTAAGTAACAGCAAATTCTTTTTAAAATGCATGGAATGACTCTATAAATAATTCTCCTTGCCTATTACCACTAGGACAGTACAAGGTGGGAGGAACCAATGTGATGATGTAGTTTAAGGGTTCAAAATAGAGCAGAGTAAATGCTACAATAAGATGGACATAAAATAACTCACAGTGTGAAGAAATAAATAAGAATAAGGAAAAAAGATACATGCATAGTTTGGTAGATAAAATGGCATACTCATCTGTCATTAATATTGTTCAAATTTATTCCTAGAGATGTACCCTGAACCACTACAGATAAGCTATTTATATTCTTGAGTTGGACCTAAATAATTGCTGTGGAAGATGGATCATGATAGTAAAATTGCTCAGAGCTCATTTCTCTTGAAAAGAGAAACTTGGCAGAGCCAATGTGGATACAAAGAAAAAAGATACCATATAAAGAAAAGTAATCTTTCTTCAGACTCATCAAAACCCATGTTGAAGATACAGACTGGTAAAAGCATTCACTAACCTTTAGTTTTGACTCTCAATTCTAAGTCACTTTTCTTGAAACATTTGCTATAATATATAATAACATTACATCTTGGAAATGAGGGAAAAGTAACAATCAATGGAGGGTGGGAATTAAGGAGATACTTTTTTTGTGAGAATTCAAGCTTGATTAGTGCTGTGGTTCTGCAATATATGGCACTGGAGTGGACAGAGCTCTATGGTTTAATCACTTTGCTTTAAACAGTGAAATTCATCTTGCTAGAAAAAAATATACATTTTTTTCCAGTGGCTAGGTGTGAGGCATAGTCTCTCAAATGTGTTAGTTGGGATGGCAGCCAACCACCATTTTCTTACTCTACAGTGTGAACCTGACCAAGTTTTGTTTCTAACAGAAGCACCTGAACATTGGCAGAATTCCCACAGCCCTTTAGTCATGGAAGCTAAAAAATGAACTAGATGATATTTGTGTGTCACAGAAATCAGAAATTTCAATGTTTTTCTTTCTTGACTCCTAGAACTAATTTTTTTAAATATAGTGTGTGTGAGACTTCTATAATGGTTTTGAAGTCACCAAAAAGAATATATATACCTCTCCTCATAGTGATAAGTAGAGATAATCTCTTAAAGAATGTATTTGGTTATTTACAGTAGCAGTCAAGTTGTTTGATTAGGCTCTAGAAGTTATATTTAGATAGATACAAAGATATGCCATGCAAATTTTGTGTTCTATGAGTCAACAGACATGTACCTGATGCCCCTTCTAGTTTCATTTAATCCTACCATTTATGCTATTTCTTTTTATTGCTTTATAACTTTAAATTTTATGGATGAAAGACATATGTTGACCTAAAACCATTGTTTCATGTTTATCAGAAAACAACAAACACTGGAAATGGAAAGTTAATTGGCAGAGTAGTCAGTGAGTCTTTGGCACCACTGGAGCAGGGCTTAGGTTTTCTGTTCTATTATCATGTGGCCAGAAACCATCAAATATGCTCACTTGAGGATCCCAAATACAGGAGTTGGAACAATGTGGGAAGTTAATAAGAAGGAAATTGGCAGGTATAGGAAGTTCTGAATGGACTAGGACAGTTATGTATGATATATATCCAAAGGGTTAAGTTCTCTGAGGGTTTAGCTTAGCTACTAGAAACATGGAAAATATCTCCACTTCATTTTCTGAAATGTTGGTACTTATCTTATTGTCCTACTCAGAGAAGATAGTACTATGGTGGGGGTAGGAATCATAGGTCATATCTAGAGGAACATCATAGTGAGGAGTGCCAGCCTGAAAGGGAGTTGAATGCACATGCCCTGAACTTAGACTTGCAGGGGTATAATGTGGCATGAAGTTGTAGGATTTTTCCAAGTCAGGGGAGCCATCTTGCTTCAAGGAGAAGTTGCCACTGATACTCAGGGGTGGTGTGAGTGGAGCCTCATAAGGGGGAGTACTGCAGTCAGGTGGATGGCTCCCAAAGGAAGAGTCTCCCAAACTCTTAAATGGCTGAGGCTTGAGATGGAGAAGATGTGCTTCCGTATGGCCATAAGGAGGGCTGGGGAGCCCTGGAGACTGATAGTTGAAGCTGTGGACAGAGACAGTAGAGTCACAAGTTGGAGATTTTTCCTCATGCTTCTCCAGGAGGGCAGACTGAGGTCCCATTTGGAGGCATCCAGCCACCAGGTTGCTTGTGGGCTGGGAGAGCCCTTTACAGAGCATCTCTACAAATCCCTTCCCTTCAAGTGTCTGACCAGTCTCCAAGACTTCAGACAAGGCCCAAATATAGTTTCTTGCTAGTCGAAGAGTCTCTATCTTGGAAAGTTTTTGGGTTTTAGAGTAACATGGCATGACTCTCCTAAGATTATCCAAAGCATCATTTAGGCCATGCATCCGGGTCCGTTCTCTAGCATTAGCCTTGACTCTTCGAGCCTTAAACCTCTCCAGGCGTGCTTTAGTCATCTTCTTTTTCTTGGGACCTCTTCTTTTAGGTTTCTCTCCATCTTCTTCTTCTTCTTCCTCTTCAATACTGTCATGTTCTTCAATTAAGGTTCCAAGCATTCCATAAGAGCCTGGTCTCTCCTGCTCCTTCATCTCATTTTGAGAGCTCAGACTTTTGTCTATCCAGGATTGTGTGTTGACCAGTTCCACCATATTCTTGGATTTCATGTACATTTTTGCCATTTATATATTCTGGAAAAAATATAGAAAGTTAAACACCAAAATACATGATGTAAATCTAAACTGAAATAGATATGATGGCACATGCCTATGATCCCATTGCTTGGGGGGTGGAAGCAGAAAGATCAGGAGTTCAAAGCCATCTTTAGCAGCATAAAAAGTTGAAGGCCAGCCTAAGCTATATGAGACCCTGTCAAAAGACACATAAATTTTGTTTTTATTCTGTGAATATAGAACACATTGTGTTGGGACTTCATATTTTCTTTGCCCATCTGTCATTTTAAATTAATCCAAGGCTCAAAGACTTGCCCTAGACATAGATCTATTTACAGAACATTGCCAAAAGAGAGAGAGAAAGAAAGAAAGAAAGAAAGAAAGAAAGAAAGAAAGAAAGAAAGAAAGAAAGAAAGAAAGAATCACAAAAGAAAAAATTGAAGACTCATTGGGGTGGTAGTGTCTGACTTTTTAATCTTAGATTATTTATCTTATGAGGATTTTATACAAAATAACATAAGTAAAACTCCAACCACACATTCTTTTCTTTAGCCAATTTATAACATGAAGGAAAGTAAGTAAGCATATAAATTGTTGCCCCAGTAGGTAAAAGCACGGGATAGCTGAAGCAATCCTGTACAATAAAAGACTTTCTGGAGTTATCACCATCCTGATTTCAAACTGTACTATAGAACTATAATATTAAAAAGCCACATAGTATTGGCCTGAAAACAGATAGGTTGACCAGTGAAATCAAATCAAAAACTCAGAGATAAGTCCACAAACCTACAAATGTCAGATTTTTTATTAAATTTTTTTTAAAAGATCCAGAAGTGCACAATGGGGGAGAAAAGCATCTTCAACAAATGGTGCTGGTCTAACTGGATTTCTAAATGCAGAATAATGCAAATAAATCTATATTTATCACCCTGCACAAAACTCAAGTTCAAGGGGATCACAGACTTCAACGTAAAACCAGAGACACTGAACTTGATAGAAGAAAAAGTGGGGAAGAGCCTTGAATGCATTGGCATAAGATACAACTTCCTGAACAGAACACTGATAGTACAGGCACTAAGATCACCAATTAATACATGGGACCTCATGAAACTGAAAAGGCAAAGTACACTGTCAATAGGACAAAACAGCAACCTACAAAATGGAAAAACATTTTCACTAACTCTGCATCTAGCAGAGCACTAGTATCCAAAATATGCAAAGAATTCTCAAGAAACTAAACACTAACAAACCAAATAACATCATTAAAAATTAGGATACAGATATAAACAGAGAATTCTCAATAAAGTAATCTCAAAAGATCAAGAAACACTTAAAAACATGTTCAACATCCTTACTTATAAGGGAAATGAAAATCAAAACTACTTTGAAATTCTTGTCAAATGGAATCACACCTGTCAGAATAGCTAAGTGACAACTCATGCTCATGAGGATGTGGAGCAAGAACACTCCTCCTTTTCTGGCAGCAGGGCAAACTTGTACAGCCCCTATCAAAATCACTATGGTGATTCCTCAGAAAATAGGAAGTTGATCTACCTCAATACCCAGCTATGCCACTCTTGGGCATATACCCAAAGGATGCTCCATCCTATTACAAGAACACTTACTCAACTGTGTTTATAGCCACTTTATTCATTATAGCAAGAAACAGGAAAAAACCTAGATGTCCCTCAACCAAAGAATGGATAAAGACAATGTGGTACATTTACGCAATGTAGTATTGCTCAACTGTTATTTTTTTTTTAAATGGTATCATGAAATTTGTAGGCAAATGGATGGAACTAGAAAAAATTATTCCGATTGAGGTAACCCAGACCCAGAAAGAAAAACATGATATGTACTCACTTATAAGTGGATATTAACTGTTAAAGATAATCACTCTACAAATCACAGAGTCCAGAGAGGCTAAATCAAGGAAGGCTCAATGAGGAACACATGGATCTCCCTGGGAAGAGGAAATACAATAAATTTTATAGGCAGACTGGGGGTAGGTGGGGATGGGAATAGAGTGATCAGGTGTGGTAGGGGGATGGATGGATGGATGGATGGATGGATGGATGGATGGATGGATGGAAAGAATACTGGGAAAGATGACTGTAAGGATGAGGCTCCAGGTCTAGAAAAGCATTGTGTTTCTTCATAAGCACTCTGTATTCTCTCAGGGGTTAGGGGTGTCAGACATTCTAGTGACACAGTGTCTTGAAAGAAACATGAAAAAAATTACCACTGGTCATCTATCAAATTTGCCCACGTATTGATAACTCTTTCTTTTTAATTAATTTATTTTTATTAATTACAGTTTATTCACTTTGTATCCCACCTATAGCCCCCTCCCTTTTCCCCTCCCAATCCTGCCCTCCCTCATCTCTTCCCATGCCCCTCCCCAAGTCCACTGATAGGGGAGGTCCTCCTCCCCTTCCCTCTGACCATAGCCTATCAAGTCTCATCAGACTGGCTGCATTGTCTTCCTCTGTGGCCTGGTAAGGCTGCTCCCCCATTAAGGGGAGGTGATCAAAGAGCCAGCCACTGAGTTCATGTTTGCACATGTATCTCACACTATCAGAAAAGACTATGACAACAGTTAGAAGCAAAAGTCAGTGATCCACAAAACCTATTCAAGATTGTTTTAGTAATACAGTCAGAAAATACTTTATTAGAAATGAAAAACATAGGACAAACATAAAACAAAACAGAATACAGTCACTGTAAACATAACACAGAGCTATTTTTAGTAATCACAGAAAAAGCATAACTACTTCAGTTCACTTGCCTAACAGATACTGTTTGATATGCTTTACATGCAAAGTTTGTTTTTATGAAAAATAGAAATTGGTGATTTAGTAAACATCTTGCATTCATATTACAAGAGTCTGAATAGTTTTCAGGTCTTTTGAGTCATTTCTAGGTATATAGTTTACCAGCTAAAAGTATCTGATAAACCCCCACTAAGGCATCCCAGTTTACTAATTAGTCCTTGAAACATTAGACCCTTTATGACCTTTTTTATGAGAAAGGTAAAAACATGATAAAATGCCTTTTGATCCTTGAAGCTGGAATCTTCAATCAATGGATTCAATAATTAGTACATGGTGTTAACAAAAATATAAAAATATGATTTGAATTGTTTCTGGTAATTGGATCTTGTTTTCATTGTAACCTCATTTACCTTTTATAAATAATTAATGTTACTGCATTGCAAAAACAGCCCAGGTTTCATATTAATCAGCAAGGAAATCATGTCAGCTTGACTTACTCACTTAATAAGGCTTCCTGGGTAAGCAGCTTTATTGAAAACACACATTGGAAACTACTGGTCAACTGGCTGCCCAGGCCAAGTCAGAAAATCCCACTTTTAATATGGATGATGAAGCTTGTGTGCTGAGCTGCGCTTCTACGTTGGGCAAATATCCAGAGGGAGGGGTGAGGCCCTAATTAACTTTCTGTTAAAGTAACACAGATCTTCCAGAGGCAGGTGCATGCTGAGGCCAAAAAGGGTGGGTGAGCCTGGGAACCCTGATGCTCTCTGTGTAATTACAATATCACTTGTGTAACATTATAAAGTTTGCCGCACTTTTGCACTCTTTAATCTATACATTCCATAGAGCGCACTGTCGAGGGTGGGGAGTATAGCCCTGTCCACTTCATAGGCAGCAGCACCATGGGGCCAGTCTTTTAAATGATGGACATATAAAGACATAGTATAATAGGACATTAAAACATTTCTGATATCAAAATCCTGGGCTTTAGAGTTCTTTTCCTCCTTTTTTTTCTTCCATCATAGCTAAAGAACATCATTTTTATTTTAGCAAAATAAAACTTAGATCAGTAGATCTAAGTCAACAGGAGTGATCATTATTCAGTGAAGGCTGGATCAGATGTTCTCTGGGGCAACTTTTAAATCTTAATTTCCATGATTCATTCCTCCCCCAGAGGCGCTCTTTGTTGCATTTGGCTACTTACTCTACCCCTCTTCTATTCTGTTCTTTTCCATTTTCTCCATCTTTCTCCCACCTTCATTAGTGTCATTGCACTGTGTCACACTGATGTGCATGGAGAGGAGAGCAGAAAGATGAAATCGAGGAGAGCCATGTGACCCACCTGAATCTGAGTACTGCTCTCACTTCTGTATTTGGGCTTCCTCACTATCATCTCTCTGCACCTCCCAATTCTTGCTTGATCTTTCTAGATGTGTCAGTATTCACACTATCAGGAATTGGAGGTTAAAAAATAAAATTGACCTATCTTTGTCTTTAACATCCTTGGCGATTTTTAAGAAGCTTTTAAAAACCATACTGTCAGTAAATAGAGAGAACCTTCTGGATTTGGACAAACAATGTGAAACTAAACAAAGCAGTGAAATTTTACCTTTTTCTTTTACCAACCATGAGAAGAACAGGGATGGTTCTGACTTAATATTTTCTGTTCCCATATGAATTGGTTCAGTAGCTCTAAGAGACTTCTGTGAGTATATAAATGTGGCTTTAAAAACATGATGACTAGAAAAGTACAGATGAAATGCTAACCCAATATTTTCAATTCCTGATTCCTGATCCATTCTTTTTGATAATATAAAAATAAAGTATACTTTACATTATTTACATAATTCAGAAGCATGGCAAAGAATAATACTGTAAAACAATATCCACATATGTAATTGGCATTTATTTTTGGAATTTTAAAAGTCTAACCCATTCTTGCATGTATTTTCTTCATTCAAAATTAAATTTTCCCACAGATGACTAAATAAAATACACTGTATATGCTAGTATCTCTTACTATCTGAATGCAACCTCACTTGATTGGTACAGAGGCAAATCTAAGAATATCCCAACAGTCTGCCTTTCTCAGCCAGACTATACAGCACATACTCTGAAGTCAGAATGACTGGGTCCAAATTCAATCTTACCACTTACTAGATTTGTAACTTAGACTATTATCTGCCTTAATCTTCTCCTCCTTAAATGGGAATAATAATAGACCTAACTCACAGA